ACCTACCTCTCTGTCTATGACAGTTTATCAGTTACTATATTCTAATTTTGTTGTATTTCCAAGATTAAAGCATTTTATTTTATTGTGTATGTATGTATTTTTCTTTTATTGTGGGAGCCTTCTTTGTGGAACTTGGTTGAGCTACACCATATGGTCCAAGGTAAATCCAGCACTGGGAAATTTCTGTGGTGCCCCCCTTCCCTTGAAGCCCTAAGCACGTGCTTATTTTGCTTAATGGTTAATCCAGCCCAGTTCAGTGCGATTTCAGGTAAGATGGTGCTGATTTCCATCAATATCTCACTGAAATTGCATGAGATCTTGCAGAGCGCGTGAGATCTCGTGTGATTTCAGCAAGCTCTCACCCAAAATTGGCACCGGTGCCAACACTCCTTCTATGCCACCAGCGGAGGTGGCAGGGCAGGTGACACGAACAGCAGCAGTGGCAGGGTCACACTTCCTGTTGTGCCTCAAGTGGTGAAACAGGACAGGCCATCCCTGTTTGCCTTTGTACAATAGGCTACATTCCAGTCACATAAAAGCCAGAGGTTTCTTTACACTGCTCCCCAGTGTGGATGTACTGTGCAAGATTAACTGTCCTCTATTGCTGAATATCCATCAAAAATGTTTCAGACTGGAAGCAAAAATGTTCATTTCTGCAGTTTTGAGCAGTTTAAGTGCTTCATTTGTTGTGCACTAGTTTAATGGCTGGCTGTTGCAGTGTATTTTTTTTCATAAAGCCAGAAGGATGACATAAAATGTATTTGATTTTAAAGCAACCATGACAGAAGGCCTCCAGTTAGCCTCTCAAGTTTTCTTCTAGACATAACGTGCTCCTGAGGAGTGTATGTGTGCAGGGCTTGCTTCTGTGCAGACTGGATGGAATGCCGACAGCTTCAGTATTAAAAACATGACTAAATAGAAGAAACATTTGCTGTTCATTAAGCAAGTCCATAAAAGTGTTCACTACGAGAAGGGAGCCAGCATTTCTGCTTTCATTGTTTGAGGGTGGAGGAAGGAGCGTCTTGGATCAAGAAAGGAGTTCTTCTCTGTCACTTTTATCGCTTGGCACAGTCTCTGGTTTGTCTGCATCCAAATTGAAATGAAAAACAGGGGGTGTCAGGAGCCCTATCGCTAGGAATGCAATCCAGTATTCTAAAAATAATGTCCAGAGGAAGTTTCATATCATTTTTAGAACATGCTACTTCTCAGAACTAAGGGAAGAATCCAACAAAGCAGGACTGCAAAAGTGATCCTCTCTTGCCTGCCTGTGCAGCTGGCCAGCTCAACCAAGTGTATATATTCATATCTACAACTAGGCAAATGTGGCTCAATATTGGATGCTGGGCTAAAAAGCCACAATAGTCAGTTTCAGTGCTCTGCCTATACAAACAACTGCAATTGTTGCTTCAGTTCAGCCATTTGAACAGACCTTGCTGTGCTGTCTGGCAGAGGTGCCAGCTCCTGGGGGCCGAGCCCTTTTGGTTCTCCCAATATTTGGGGGGTGGGGGCCAGCCCCCCCATGTACAAAAAGCATGGAGGTGAAGCATGGAGCCAAGCACAGTGCGGTTCCAGTGGCCGGTTCCTCCTGCTCCTGCTGCCATGAAGGGGAAGGAGGATCGAAGAAGCCACCTGCCAGTAGTGGTGCCAGGAAGGGGAGCCCCTGGCCGCTGAAGCCATGTGGCCACCACATTCAGCTCTGCCCCCAACTTCTCCTGACATCCTGACGTCATGCACATGTTACGTGCAACATCATGCATGTGATGTTGCCCCCCCCAAAAAAAATGCCCATGCAAGCTGGTGCCTCTGCTGCCAGGCAAGTTTTCCAGAAGTGCAAGAGTGTTTTTGCTGACTTAGCAGCATAGCTCAAGACCTAGCTTAACAAATGTGGGGTGGTAACATTCAAACAGAGAGGAAACCAAGAAGCATGGAGCATATTTTGAAGACAGCTTCCTGCAATTCTGGCCCTCTAAATGTAATCATATGGGAGTTAATATTTTTGCCCAAACTATCCTCTGATCTCTTCCCTACACTCAAGCAGGTGAAGGTGTTCTTTTGGAGCAGTTCATATATGGAAGTTAAGATAAACTACTACCACATTTCCCTAAATTGGTTGGAGGAGAGTGGAACACTGCCAATAAGAAAAGCACAACAGATCCGAAGCACCATGGGATGCTTTGCTGCTATTTTGCCAGGTAGGAATCCTCATGTCTGAATGGAGTGGATCCAGAACACTGAAGAATGCAGGGGAGACTCTGGAGGTGGATGAACTGCTCCTGAAGGTGCGTAAATCTTACTCTTACACACACACTAAAAGTAAACCTTTTGTGTGGCATAGGGTGGAAGTGTGCCTCGATTTTTAATTCCGGGAAGGGGTGGTCTTTAGTCATATCAGGCATTTGGGAAACAAAGCCCTAAATGATGCCTACACCGATGATTTTTGTGCAAACAGTGCTGGCCAGAGGCTGGTCATGATTCCTAGATTTGAAGAAAAAAGCTTGTTCAGAGTTTCTGCTGTAGAATGTAGCAAAGGGGTATGGCTGGCAAGACAGAACTTGTTCTTGAAATAATTCAAAGCTCCTTTCAGAAGTGTAAGGAGGGGCAGGCAGGGGAGCACACAGGCTTGGTCTACAGAAAGACCCAGACAGTTCCAATGCCCAGCACTTCCGGTTCAACAATCAGGATGGGGGAAGGCTCCTTTCTGAAGACCCTTGAAAGCCAGAGCCATAAGACAATGCCTAAGAAAAGCCTTTTGTGCCACAGTAAAGACCTATCTAATCCCAGTAGCAGCATGTGTGGTATGATGGATCCACCTTCACAACACGGGTGTTGCTACTGCTTATTCGCTTACCAATCCAGCAATCCTATTCATGCAACCACATGGCCCCAACGTCCCCACTGCCCACCCCCATCCAGGTATGCAGTGGAGATTTCAGTGTTAGGAGGGTGGATATGCAGACACCCCACTATCTAGCTCCCACAGTGCCAACTAGATACCTATAGGAAACCCACGAGCAAAGCATGAGTGCAATAGTACTCTCTCAATATTGTTCACCAGCAACTGAAATCCAGAGGCATGACACATGGAGTTGATACATAACCAGAATGACTCGTATCCAATGGTTGATTAAAGCCATTCAAGTTGGTGGCCATCATTACACGATGTGGCTGAGTGGAGAAGTGCTTCCTTTTGTCTGTCCTGAATCTCCTACCACTGAGCTTTGTTGGAAGATCCCAGATGCCAATATTATGAGAGAGGGAGAAGTGGGTCTGCTTTTTTTCTACACCACACATAATTTTACACACATTATCTTGCTTCCTACTTACTTGCCTTCTTCCCACCCCTGCCACTGGCTCTTCATCCATCTAAGCCATATCTACCATTGAAATTATTCTTTGGAAAAGGAATCTGACTTTGAGGATGTGCACCACAGGCCCCGGGTCCTTGAAACCCAGTTTCCCCTCCTCTCAGTATCATTTCCCTAACCCACTGGGCAAACCAAGCACAATGTGCTGCCCCCAACCCCAGCAATATGCAGGAAATGCATGCAGCAACCTTTGCCTATTGTGGTTGGAGGGTGGAGAAAGGGGTCGTGCTGGCACCTCCTGTTTTTCTATAGGGTCTCTTTCTTCCCCTTCCCCGTATTCTACCATCAGACTCTGCCCATGGATTTTCATAAAATTGCAACACATTTCTTTGCACTCTTGAGGGTTGACCAAGTTGCCCTATCACACTTCGATAATGGCTTGTTGACCTTCTAGAGAAATGAGGAATATGGCAAAATTAGATGTTCAGATCACCATCAAACTGAGGATTCCTCAAATACTCCTTAGCCAATCTGCCTTCCTGCCTCTCCAGCACAGTTCCCCGTTTCCATAGCAATGGTGTATTACTTTAAATAGGTTTCATTCCAAAACAATATTGTGGTTCCTCGTCTATTGTGGTTTAATTAAAAATAACCTTTCTTTCCTGAATCCCCCTGGCATAAGTCTTTGTTTTGTCTGCCGAGTGAGATGTTAGAGATGACCTTCCTAATTAGCTGACTCCTCTGTCCAAGGACTAGAGTTACTCATGATATGTTTTGTAAATGGTTTCAGCAGAGAACTGAACTTGGACCATCATGATTAGAATGCATTTTAAAGCTTCAGCGAGATGAGCTAAAATGATTTTTCCCCATTACCTGAAATTTCAGTGAATGCAATTATTGTTCAGAAGCTGAACAGCTCAGCAATGGTCTTAATATGCTGTATCTTGCATCAGCATGTAACTCTGATTTTGCAAAGAGAAGATGTGGAATCAGAACATAAGATAAGCCTGCTGGATCAGGCCAATGGCCCATCTAGTCCAACTCCTGTTCTTACAGTGGCCGACCAGATACCTGTGGGAGCGAAAAGGTATTCTGCCCACCTGTGATTCCCAGCAACTGGTATTCAGAGGCATTGTGCCTTTGACAGTGGAGGCAGAACACAGCCATTGTGGCTATTGATATTCTCCCATATTTGAATTGGAGTGGGGGGAGAAATACCTTGGGAGTATTGTTGCTTTCCTGTTGCTTGGTTGAACCATTCATCAACATATGGCATTCATCAGCTGAAAGCTGAAAGCACTATAGTTGTGATCTGATTTGTTGCAACAAGTTGGGTCATAGATAGAAAAGTATTCCCACATGCCGTAATAGACTAATGGTGAACTCAATTTTCTTAATGTGGCCCCTTATGTAGCCAAAATGGGACCATCTACACATAAGGAAAAGGTATTGGCTGGCTTAGGGGAACCCAAAGGTCTGCATAATGATTTTTATTTTTTTAAATGAGACGAGGAGCTTAATAGGGAACCCAAAACAGGTCAATGAAGACTGAACATGTTCAGTGGCCACAGAATGCTGAATGTATTGAGGTTGGGGAAGAGAAAACTAAGGTATGGAATAAGGTATCCCAAACAAAGGCTTGGAGACTGAACTGGAGCACTCCATGTTGCAACATATTGTTGAGAAGTGCCACTTGTGATGCTTTCAATAGAAGCCTTATTGCCTCCTTTATTTATTGGAATGGAAGGCCAGAGACCCGCCATTATAGTTCAGTGAACAGCATGTGGGTTCTACTAGTTTATAGCAAGCACACATAAAGAAGAAATGTAACAGGGAAGATCCCACTTTGTTCACATAACAGGCTTCTGTTTTGAGGTAGTGTCAGATTCTTTACCGCCCTTTTGAAGAAAGATGTGAGTGGGATGTGCAAACAAAGCTTCTTTATTAAAGCAGAGTATGGATCAAAGGAGGAATACTGTTCTAGCCCTTCTTTCTTTGACTCTTTCTCCCTGAGAGTTGCCTGTTCACATATGGATGGGAACGACTCCCAGGCTGGCTTGGAAACCCAAACCATAAAGAGGAAAGGCCCAATGGGAACTTGATTGTCACTCCTTCCCTACACTTAATTTGTCTGTTTGCACTCAGTAGTCAATATCAAATTACTCAGCAGACAACTCCCATGACTTTCCTATGGACACTTAAAGATGTGTCAGTGAAATGTTGGCCTGTAATCTAGAGATAATTTGGAGAATTTTGGTAATGCTGATATTTTATTTTCAGTTGTATTCGGCTCAACTTCCTTGCCCCTTCCTTGTGGAGAGAGAAGGAAACTTAGAGCTGCACACACTGATCGCAGCCCAACAAAAATGCAAGTGTGCCCAGCCCATTCAATGGCTTACCAGTGAATAAGCATGCTTAATTCTGGATTGTGGAAATAATATTTACATGTAAAGTGTACCACATTAACAAGGCAAACATATGTTTGCAAATAGTGAGGCAAATGTGCACTCTGAGTAGATGTGGGTATTATATAAGGACGTTCACTAGGGAACACTGATGATATGTACTTTGACAAATATTAACATCTTTGTGTGATGTGGCTCCTAGGCTCTCTTTATCTCATGGGATCTACATTTTCTCACTGTCAGGGAAATAGTGGGGAGTAAAAACCATAGCAACTGTGGATGAGCCCCAGTGAAGAGCCACAGCTCAGTGGAAGAGCATCTATTTTGCTTGCAGAAGGTTCCATGTTTACTCCCTGACATATTCAATAAGAGCTGAGAGAGATCCATCTGAAAACCTGGAGAGCCTCTGCCAGTCAATGAGTACCTATTACTAAGCTAGAAGCACCCATGGTCAAACGCACTATAAGGCAGCCTCCTGTGGTCACATTTGCACCGTACATTTCAGGCACTCCTATACAACTAACAGTCATTGCTTTCCCCCAAAGAATCCTGGGAAATGTAATTTGCTAAGGATGCTGACCTCACAAACTTACAGTTCCCAACTCCCTTAACAGGATTCTCCATGATGGCTAAAATTTGTATAAGATTTAATTCTATTGTGTGGGTGTATCCTATGTTTCTATGAATGCCATGAAAGGAAGCGCTTCTTGTAGCTGGAGGCAGCGGAGTCTATGATGGCGCAATCCTAACTCCATTTACCTAGGAGTTAGCTGCACTGAACTCAGTAGACTTAATTATGAGCAGCCATGGTTAAGATTGTGCTGTTGGTGCCCTGCTTGCACCTCTGTGAGGACTGTTTCCTCCTGGTTTTCAAGTTGCAGCTCATGATGATGACATGGACAACACATTACTAGTTGAGTGGTCAAAATATAAGCAGATTTTGATTGAACTTGTAGAACATTCGGAGAAATCATAGCAGAAAGTACCCTTAGGAAATGGAAACAATGAGAAATAGAAGTAAGTCACTGAAAGACACCCCAGATGAAAAGATCTTTGTTCCTAAGGGCTTATTCACAAGAATAAGAGAATTTAGCCTTCACAAGTCCCAGTTCAAAGGCAATAGCAAGATTTCCTGCTATGCACTGGTTGAAGGTACAAAGCTGTTTGCCCCTTTTAAAAAATGGGGAGGGCGAGAGAAAGAGAAAAAACAAGGGTATGTGTATCCTTTGTAATAAGAGAAGGAGTCCCTACCATCAAAGAACTAAATACAAGTGACATTTAAATAGGATGGGGGGAGTATGTAGAAGGATGGTACATAGCTGTGGAAGGAAATGACTGGCTGCTGTTTGCTTTTTTTTTGCTTTTTTTCTTGACTTGGTAAACTGTTTTGCAATGTTGCTATACAGGAGAAAATACATGTTACTTCCATAATTTCCCTTTTCTTTAGAATTGCAAATCACTTTTTACAGTGCATGTAGATGATGATCTTGTAAATTTGTTGCAATCCAGGGTTTTCTTCCCCCCGGATCAGTTTTCTGGCAAAATTAATGGTAATAAAATGTGGTTGCAGCACCAGCCTGCCCAGTGTGGAAAAAGAGTGCTGCTGTATAATATAAACCTATACTAAGTGCCGCTGGAACTTGTTCTAACTCTATTTGCGGCTCATTTCAAAAATTCGCAAGGCCTCTGAAAAAGGCAAACTTTTAAAAGTCGCAAGATGGAACAGGAGGTCTATCCTGCCTTCCATCGCAAGCACGGCACTGACTGAAAACCATAAAGAAAGGAACATCAAAGACATCTTGAGGAAGAGAATTCCAAATGGAAGGAGCCCCGGGTAAAAAGCCTTTGTTCCTGGCATCTACTCACCTGACATCTACCAAAGAACAGAGCAAGGTCTTGCTAGAACGTCTTAACCTGAATCAAGTAATTACAGTACAATCCTAGCCATGCCTAAATTCTTTCCTACCTGATATTTCCCAGGTCCAAGTTGTTGCTAGGTGGCTTTCTGGCTTTCCACAGGGCAAGCTGATTGGGGAGGCAGTACGGAGCAGGGGAAACAGTCCATGGGAAGAGGTGAAATGTTTCTACTCCCTACCATTTCTCCGACCCATAATGTTCAATTGTGTTGAATGTAATCAAATAACTTAACCTACGAAAGAGAAAAAGGATATATTAAGACACTTTATGTAATTCTGAAATACTTACCTGTTTAACTTGCTCTGAGACAGCCAGTAATACTTTTTTCATTTGTCATTGTTGTTTTTGTTTATGCAGGAAAATAAAAATATTTTTTTTTTAAAGGATGAATGGGATGTTAAGTACATCTGCCTTTAATGTTTGCCTCAAAACCTTCATTAGTTTAATGTAGTTGTTCAAACAAGCTGATCCATATAAGGCAGAAAACTGTGCAGCTCCCCTCTACTAGGAGGCTGCAGTGTTGACATAGGAATTGCTTTGCGTGAGCACCTTATCTAGAAGATTGGTGATAAACTGAAAAATTCCATGTGATCAACAGAAAGCATTTCATTCTTATCTGAAGGAAAAACCAGAGAGATGTGCATGAGATAGCTGGAGAGGAATGTTGGTGAACATGTTTCACAAAAAACTATTCTTGCTTATGGGTTGTTTGTTGTTTTGCTTTTGAACTGAATGATACCAATAAAGTTAATGAAGGTTTCAAACCTCTTCCCACTCTCATCTTTTTAGGAATTTATATCTTAAAGTTTGAACCCTGAATATCTGGAGTCCTGTTGTTACAGCAAACTTGATTTCACGTTAAGTTTCACATTGTTGAAATATTTATATTCCACTTTAAAAATATACTCAAAACAGCTTATAACCGTAATAGAAATCAGCTGTCTATAAAAAAATTAATGTAAATATTAAAATGCGAAACCTATAAAGTTCTGGCTTATTGGTGCTAATTTGTAAAGAGCTAACCTTTTAGGGTTGCAGCACCTAGCTTTGGAGCCCCTTGCCTACTGATATCAGGCTGTGTTGTTCTAGATGCTGAAAACCTTTCCCCCAGCAAGTCTACTGGGACATATAATATAGTTGTAAACATTTGCTTTAATTTTTTTCTATTTGTGTCTGTGGTTTATTGATAATTATCTAAGTAGACATGGTTACAATTGCACTAAAAATCAGTCATCTGCCACTGCAGGCCCCCCATGCAAGGCCCATGACTTCTGTGATGGGGAAAAAAACCTACGGTACTTCCTTGTAATAGGGAAAGAATGTAAATCTGTATTTCTTTGTGAATCAGACATACTCATACCAAGCAGTTGTTCTGACTTGCAAATAGATTCCCCTGTGACTTCTGTACTTTTGCCTCTTAATCACTGGAGAAAATAATGGGGACACTTCTATGGATAAACAAAAGTCACCAATTATTATTATTATTATTAAATAATATAATGTGTAACGGTAAATCTGCTATATTATAAGCTTTGTTGGAAGTCTACACTATGCCATGTTGGTTACTGCTGTCTCTGAAAGCTCCTAAAAAGTATTATTCGTACAAATGGAGCTATCATCTGAAGTCTTGTGAACTAAGTTTATAGTCCATGAGATATGGCAGGCGCTCACTATCTGTGCTTGCCAGAAGCAATTGAAGACATTTTTGTTCCAATGGGCTTTACCAGTGGGATGAACAGTTCTCTGCACTGGGTGTCTACTTTGAATTGTTTTAGACACATATTTGCTGTTTTCTGTGCTGTTTTCCAGCTGTATATGGTGCATATATATGGGAGGTGATGAATAAATAAAATCTAATGGTACAGCTTCAGAGCTACAGTGGTGCTAACTGGAAATAAATCATTTCTGTTCTTGCACTGATCACATAAGTATATTTTCACTTTTAGGAGGGAAATTTTTGTGTGAATCCTTCCCCCCTGAGTCAGACTCCTGACTCTGCTTCATAAGCATTTTAGAGCTGCCTGCTGAACTTCCTTTGTTCTAGCCTAGGGTTATGAAGTGACTTTGTAGATCAGTTAGGTAAGCTCAGCAGAATCTCTTCCTTGCCCTTGTCTTAAATGCAGAAATACAGCAGACATGGTTAAACCACCCAAAAGACAGAGAGTGAGCAGTCTGTGGAAAACTGAAGATGGGTAGACAAGTTGTGCGCTGCAATCTTATACACGGTTACCTGGGATGGAATAAATCCCATTGAACTCAATGGTGCTTACCTATGAGTAGACACATATAGGATTACACTGTAAGTATCATTGTCCTTTCAGTTGAGATATATATATTTTTCATTCAGGTAACTAGCCCAAATGTTTCTGAAAGGAAAATTGTTCTTAGATGAAGGTGATGGACTACATGGAATTGACGGAAATGACTGGCAGGATCCGAGACCAGGGAGAAGAGTCAGTGGAAGAAGACTGGAAGAAATTTAAAGACTATTTACAGAGACATTGTAAAATTAATGAATGTTAGAATGATGTTGGATTGAAATTAAGTGGTTTCTAGCTGAAATGATATAAAAGAATATGAAAAAATGGTTTTTTATAAGTACAAATTTAAGGTTATAATAATGTAAGATTAAAGATCTGGGTAGAATAAAGAGGGAAAGAAACTGCTGAGCTAATAAATTGAACTGGAATACAAAAAAGGGAGGTATGAGGAGGTCCGAGAAACAAGTAAATGAAAAATAATGTGATGAAAAGATTGATTGTTTTTAACTATTTTTATTTTGTATTTTGTCTTTTTTCTTTTTCTATTTTGTAATGTAAAAATCTTAATAAAAATTTTATTTAAAAAAAGAAGAAAATTGTTCTTTTTCAAAATTTAGCATTTTTTTCATCTGCGTCCTATACATGTTCATGTGGAGATAAGTTCCCCTAATATTTGTCTCAGCATGGTCTTAAACCAGGACTCATGGTTAAGCACTCTCCTCACCAAACACGATCTCTGGCAACAAAAAAACCTAAGCTTAGCTCAGCACAGCAGTAGAAAGGACCAGGGAGGAGCAAAGGGGTGACAAGCTTTGCCTCCATGGTCTCAAGATCTTGGTGTGCCATAGTTTGGTTTAGCGTGTCATGCAGATCAGATCAGAGAGTACTTCTAAAGTCTGTTGCACAATGATTTCCTTGAGCAAGGGGGTCCAAGTCCAACACTCCACCTTTTGGCCATGATTGGCTCTCATGGCAATTTAAATTAATTAACACATTGAATCCAGATTACTTAAGGGTGGGAAAGAAAACTCAATGCTCTTTAACAGTGATGTGGGTTTATTTTGGGGGGGGGGTGTTGAAAATTCAGCTGCTTTGGTTAAACCACCCAAATTTCCTGATGCCCTAGAGAGTGATCTAATTTGGCATGCTTATTTTACTTGTTTTTATTAAGCAAAGGTAAGCACTTTGAAACTGCCATGCCTGCTTAATACTGTGCGTGCAGTTGGCATTCATTCGTTTTTGCATGGAAAAATAAAACATTCCCAAAAAAAATTGGACCTACATCTTTGCTGTATGTAGACATGTTGAAGATTGTGATTTCCTTTACAATCAGCCACCACTTGTGCATGGTATGTCAGCACAGCAGTAAAACTGCTAGAACATTTGCAAAGCTAAGCAGAGTCTGGTATGGTTTCAAATTGAATGGGAGCCATGTGTTGAGATTTCTGCATTGCAGAGTGTTGGACTAGATGATCCTTGCGGTCCTTTCCAAGTCTATGCTTCTACATCAGTTAAATGACCTCAGAATGTATGAGTATCATTATTTCTAATTGTATCATTATTTTTCAATCTTGCATTACTAAAAAAAATTAAAAAAATAGCACTGGCACCAGAAAACCAAGATAATTTTTGTACACCCTGTTTTTGGTAAGAGCAAGGAGCTAGTACAAGGGGATGAATTAAAGGTGAAAGCTTCAGTCTCTCTAGGCCATGTGCTGTTCAGGCCAATTCCTTGAAAGGGACTGTTGACTGATTGTGGTAAGCTGACATTGTCAAAGAACAGCAGCATTGTGGGGCCGATCCAGACACTGTGGCTTTCCTGGAAGAATCGTTAGAGCTGTGACTCAACTGGCCCAGATATCCAATGGCTCCTATTGTGAAGGAATCACCATTTCCAAGCATTTTAAACAGCTCAACACAGTTGCTGGGAATTATTTCTTCCTCCAGTAAAGTGGTATTATTGCACACTGTTTGCTTTGGGGATGAGAGTTGGGCTATTGTCATGGGTATTGGACAGCACATCCCTAAAATCACCCCCCTGTACCCATCTGTGCCATTCTGTACCACCATCATTTTTTACTTCTATGTACATATGTATACAGGTACATCATATATAACAACAGTGAACAGTAAAGTGTGGATCCTTATAAAGCCTAAACAGCACAAGAGAGAGATAAGTGTGTTTTGTTCTCATACCAGAAGACATAAGCCACATTCATTTCGTACCTATGAATGGTGTATCATGATTGTTGTTGTTGTTGTTTTATTATTTATACCCCACCCATCTGGCTGGGTTTCCCCAGCCTCTCTGGGTGGCTTCCAATACATATAAGAGCATAATAAAATGTCAAACATTAAAAACTTCCCAATACAGGGCTGCCTTCAGATGTCTTCTAAAAGTTGTGTAGTTCTTTATCTCTTTGACACCTGATGGGAGGACGTTCCACAGGGAGGGTGCCACTGCAGAGTACATTGGAGCCAGCCACCACACATGTACAGATGAGTGTGCATGCGCCAATGACAGCCCCAAACTCCTGTTTTTGAAGCTGAGAAACAGAAAAGGTTGTGCACACCAGGTGGAGATATCCCCACTCACTCTGAATGACATATACCGTTAGGTCTGAGGATTACGTTGCAATTTCTTTCTAGCAGGGACGGGGACCCTGTGGCCCTTCTAGTGCATCGCTGGACTCCAGCTTCCATTAGCCCTGTGGTTCCCAAAGTGGGGGGACACCCCCCCAAAGGGGGGCAATTTGATTTTTAAGGGGGGCAATTCGAGAATTAACAGTGAATGGCCTTTTAGGCTTCCTCCAAGTGAATAGGAGTTCACTATTTGAATAATAATAATTATAGGGGGGGGCTCAGGATTTTAGAGATGCTTAGGTGGGGCATGGCCAACAAAAGGTTGGGAACCACTGCATCAGCCTGAGGTCAGGAATGATGGGAGCTGGAGTCCAGCAAATCATCTGGAGGGCAGCACCTCGACGACCCCCTACAGTTTAAGCCTGGCCTTGGTGACAATGTTCTGCTCCCCTCTGCAGGGTTGGCGGTGTCTGGCTGTGCTTACTCAGCGGGAAATGAAAGAAAGGTTATTCCACACGCTCACCACGAATGTAGGTTTTCCTACACTCCCTGCTGACAGAGACAGCGCTCCCATTCAGCCCCACACCTGAGGCAGCCGCAAGGAGGGTGGGGGGCGCGCGCCTGGCTGCCCCCTCCACCTTTCGCGGCGCTGCGTTCCGGGAACAGCCGCTTCCCTCCCAGGGTCAGGGCTTCACCGGCGCGCTGAGGAAACGCGCGCCCAGCCGCAGGGTAGCTAGGCGCTTTCCAATGGGGGCCAGACTTTTTCGCCGCCGCCTTCTAAGGTAAGGCCGCCTGCTCCCCGCGCAGGACTCCTGCCCAGCCTGCTCACCACCAGAGCCAGCCGAGGGAAAGGTGGGGAAGGCCGCCTGCCTTTATATGGGCATGCTCGCACGCTTGGGCCGACGTGGGAAAGTGACGTCACGGAGCTGGAAAAGATGCCCCGAGGCTTCCTGTGGTGGTAGTGCTGCCGCCAGGCTCGCTTCGGGCGGGTTGGACGCGGACGCGTCTCTGGGAGAACTTCCCGCTCGCCCAGCTGGCTGCCTTCACAGGTCACAGTTCCCCGGGCTTGCCGTGGGCAGATGCACCTGGGGGGGGGGGTTGAGGGCAAGTCGACTCCTCCCAGGATCCCCGCCCCGCCCCGCCCCTCCCATCCCAGCCCTGGTTTCTTATTTACGCGCCTAGAGCAGGTCGGTGCGCGCGCTGCTCTCCTCTAGGCGCGTGAGTCAGCCAGACGCGCCGGGAAGTATGTGGAGTCCGGGGAGTTTTAAGGGGGCAAAATGAAAGTCTGGCCAAAATATAAAAAGCGGGGGGAGGGGGAAGGCCGGCAAGCCCCACTGAGCTCTCTTGAAAGGACTTGGCAGCCTGGCTGAGGAGCGACTAGTGTTTACTTCTGGTAGTGTGGCTGCGGTTTTAATAAAATCGTCAGGGTTAAGGGGGTTGCCAAGAGCTTTGCTTGGTACAGCCAAGGCGGTCTATATACCAGTGTTTCCCAAATTTGGGTCTCCAGCTGTTTTCGGACTACAGTTCCCATCATTCCTGCCCACTGATCTTGCTAGCTAGGGATGATCGCCATTCTCAGTAGTCCTCTGTTGCACTCTTCGGTGTCTTTGCCTCGCTGGGATGTCCCCTTAAAGTCCGATAATGCCTCCTTTGTCTGGATGGAGGACCCAAAGGCTGCATGTGTGGAAAGAAACTAACCTATGGAACACCCACTTTTCCCTCTGGCCTTGCTCATACTAATATGTGGCCCCTGGGGGTTGTGGGCTGGGGAGAGGGTACAGCCTGGAGAGAGTCCTGAGGACTAGACAGAGATGCTTGGAGGGCCACATTTGGCCCCTGGGCCTGAGGAACTCCACCTGGTTTAAACCTCTGGCTTAAAGCACTAAAAAGCTTGGATCCCTTTCCTGGCCAGGCCAGGTCGGCCCTACTTGGAAATGCCAGGGATTGACTTTGGGACCTTCTGCATGCAAAGCAGATGCTCTCCAGTGAGCTATGGTCCTTCTCTAATTACTGGGAGCAGTGCCATCTTAAGCATATCCGGTGCCGTGGCAGCAGACAGAGGCTCCAGGCGCGGCGCTGCTTTGGGACGGCATGGCAGAGGCAGGCGAGGGTGGCAAGCTGATGCCAGGAGGTGCAGTGTCCAGCCTCCGCCTCCTCCCTGGCGCCCTCCAGAACTTGGCGCCCTGTGCCACTAGCCGCTATGGGTAAGACATTGCTCTCTTGACCCCTTACATTGGGCATTCTGCTGGCCCAGCCCATGGGTGTACTTGCCTGGGTGTGGCTTTCCTTGTGCAGACAGCCCACAGCAATGCATAGATGTCAGGGTCAACTGCATTCCTGATTCCTGAAGGGGGCTTTTGTCTGTGTCCCTATTAACATGCAGAGTGCTTTGCAGTCCTTATCTAGTCTTCACGGCACACATGCCTGCTGAATTGCTGGTATTTCCATTTTACAGAAGGGAAACTAAGGCTGAAAGAGAACCATCCAGAGCTGGTGTATTGTACTAAAAAGATGAGGTGTGAACTGGGAAATACACTGACCTGGTAGCCATAGGTAAGCAAGTAAAGGCAACTCCCCATTTGCGCAGGGGTTGCATTCCAAGGCACTGCATGCATCAGCAGAATGTGCATAGGCCCAACCTGCCCCACTCCACCCCTCGCGGTGCTGAAAATGGTGTGCATGTGCCAGTCACATGCAAATGGGAGGCTGCCTGCCTTTCCTCAGATCGTTTCAAATCCCATATGCAATATAATGACAATTATAAGGATTTATTTAGAGAACCATTGTAAGGATTAGTAAAAATAATTTATATTAAAATCTTTGTACACTAAATGTTATTATTACTCATTAAAAGTGAATGAGTTCATAGCAGAGTTGGGGATCTAAATTCAGTTTTCTCAAGTCTCTGCTGACTCCTGTTCAAACACAGGAGAAAATTGCTTGTTTCCTCAAATATCAAAAACACACTTTCCACAAAGCATTTTATTTTTTTTTTAAAGTTATTTTACCTTGAGCTTTTGTGGAACGCTGAGGGTAATTTACACTATTTTAAACACCTTTGGAATTGGCTCGTGATGTTTGTTATTACCGTAACTCCTCTCCAAACTCAACACATCATTGAGAGTAATAAGGAACAGTTCCCACATGTAATAACAGTTTTTGTCAGTTTCCTTCAAGCTTGAAATGATGAAGTGCATTGGTAGCATTTGCTGCTTAGCTTTTACAGGTGGTTTGAATATATGGTTTGTTTTCAAAATAAGTCCTTGAAATCTGATAGAAATTATCAAATTGAGATATAGTATGTTACTTTTTACTTGATATCTTATGCTGCTGCCACTAATGCAGAAATATAATTGCTGCAAATACACCTGATAGTGGTGGAGAACCCACAAGAACCACTACCATCTCCAGGGAAATCAAGAGAACAGATATTCCCATTACTTTACCAGCCTACAGCTTTCTGTGTGCAGCAGCTGTAATTTACTTCCTCTTTTTTTTTTCCTCCCAGAAGAGAGAAATTCCATATCAGTAATAGTCAACGTCATTCTATGCAAGTGGAATCATCTGGTAGCCAGAGAGCAGAAGAACTGGCCACTCTAGGAGATAGGCTGCAGATACAGAATTTCATGCCCTGGGCCACTTGATACAGTATGTAGCAATTTCGATCTTATCAGGATAAATGGCCTCAGCCTGCAGTTGCTTGATCTCTGATGCCTTTCTGTAACAACTGAGGGGGACTGAGACCCCATGAGCACAGCTGAATGCAAAATTCCTGAGGCTGTTTCAACAGAAGAAATACCATGTTTTTCATCTCAAAGTTTAAAAACAAGACAGTCTGTCTTCTCTACAGTATGTATTGCCTTACAGGAGTTGAGATGTGTATGTTTTTGTATCTAACAAGTACTTCCTTAGTGAAATGTTCCTTTTTTATATGCAATTTAGCATGGTTCCCCCAGAGAGAGAGAGAGAGTGTGTTAAATTCTTCCCTACCTAATCCAGAACAAATTATCACTTTTGCCAACTAGTACAAACTCCAAGCAACTACTACACTCCTCACACATGCCTATGGTTGTGTTGTACTACTTCAATACAGTGGTACCTCTGGTTACGTACTTAATTCGTTCCAGAGGTCCATTCTTAACCTGAAACTGTTCTTAACCTGAAGCACCACTTTAGCTAATGGGACCGCCCACTGCTGCTGCGCCGCAGGAGCACAATTTCTGTTCTCATCCTGAAGCAAAGTTCTTAACCCGAGGTATTATTTCTGGGTTAGCGGAGTCTGTAACCTGAAGCATATGTAACCTGAAGTGTATGTAACCCGAAGTATCACTGTATATGGAGAAGAAAGTATTGCATAGGAAGGTAACAGTGAGGTAGAACTGCACAAAATCCTAAACTTGGCCTGCTGTTTATGTGACCTCAGGGTGCTTCTATAGCTTTTCTAGTGTTTCCTTTATAACAATAGTAATCTCATGAGTAGCAGAGCTATTTAAAGCCCCAAAATATACTAGTGGAAACTAATGAAGACTTTGTCAGGTGAGATAATATCTGCTGTGTACAAATTAATTTGGGGCGGGGTGGGGGGTTACTCTTGTTGGATTGGCTCCAGCCATATGCCTCTCTTGTCAGCTGTCAGTGGCCATCTACCTGCTGCCTGAATGTCCTTCTTGGTTACATGTACATCTAGCAGCTGCTGATGCACAGTTACTGGGACTTGATTCATCATTTAAACAATTTATGGTAGTGAAATATGAAGCTAAGACCAAAAGTGGAGGTTGCCACTCAACATCAAGAACAGGACACACCATGTAACATTCAGGAAAATTACTCTGTTCCTGAGATGGATGCATGATAAAACACTAAAATAAATATACTGTCCAACACTTCAATGGATTTTGTATCATTTTTGGTAGCAGATGCATATAATCGCCACTTTCAGAATTTTCATGCTGGCCATATGACCCAGAAAAGCTGTCTGCAGACAAACACTGGCTCCCTCGGCCTGAAAGCAGAGATGAGCGCCACACCCCACAGTTGACTTCAACTGGACTTAATTGTCCAGGGGTCTTTTACCTTACCTTACCTTACCTTACCTTACCTTACCTTACCTTACATTACCTAGTTAGGGAACCTGCATCCATAAGCCATTATGATTCAGCTTTACTTAATTTTCCATTATAAGTAGTGCACTTAGTCTAAGCTCCTGCTCTCAGGCATGCTTACTAAAATCAAATTTAATTGAAATAAGCGCAAGCTCATATTCATGTACAAATATGCTTCTATTTCATAATACATGAATTATCCACACTCGTAGTTTTCCCCCCAACAGCCTTAGGAAATAAATGCTTGGGGTCACTATTGACGCAGTTTAAAAATACATACAATGTGCAGAGAAGCATGAACCTATCAGTATGAATCTATAACATGAACATTACTCCTGGGGCTCCACTTGCTTCTAGATCAGGGCCGGAGAACCTGTGGCCCTCCAGATGTGGTTGGACTCCCAGCAGCCCCAGATAGCCTGGCCAGTGGTCAGTGATTATGGAAGCTGTCATTCAGCAAGACCCAGAGAACCACAGTGGGGAGTGCGCTGTTGTGCTCAGGTCCTTGTTTGTGGGTTTCCCATAGGCATGGGAAATCCCATGGATTTTTGCACTAGGTGGTCTTTTGGCCTGATCCATCAAGGCTCTACTCTTCATAGGTCAGTGGCTTTACCTTTTTGCCTAAGCTACCATAATATACCAGTATAGGATAGCGTAGAAAAGAATAGAACTGTGGCAAGGGGCAGGAGAATTGCATACAGAGTGATTCAAGATATGTTCCACAAAGGCAACAAATAGCCAGGGCAGAAACAACAACAATGTGATACTGTTGCTTTCAGACTCATTGTTAAGCTTCACCGTAGCACTCGGTTAAGCTCCTTCCAGCAAGTTCTAACAAGACGGTTGTGCTGAGGGACTGAATTCCCTGTTTATGGAGCATAAATCTGTCCTCCCCTTCGGTGTCCAAAGTAAGGGTGGGAAGTTAAGAAGCAGTGTTTCCAGACGATCAGTGCTGGAAGGATGACCTTGTTTAAGAGACGGGAGACTCAGGTTCAAATTGCCATGAAGTTCACTGAGTGACTGGATGAGTCATTAAATCTGAGTCTGACATACCTCACAGGGCTGTTGTGTGGGTGAAGGCAGTAGGCCGAAAACCAGTTGTGATCTCTCAGCTCCTTTAAGGAAGGGTAGGATATATATATGCACTAATAAGTAAATTATAAAATCTGAAGTACATCTGCAGAAGTTGAAGTGCAGTCTTCCTGAGAGTAAGTACACAGGATCAATTGACTTGTATTTCACAGGCTTGGTTGTGCAAAGTAGATATGAACAAAACATGAAACTCTGTAATTTTTTATGTGATAAGTTCTCCTGGTTATAAAGGTTTTGATTAAATTAATGTACCCAGTGTTAGTCATACTCAGAGTAGACAAACTGAAATTAATAGACATGACTTTGGTCCACTGATTTCAGTAATCCTGCTCTGAGTAAAACCTAGTTGGATATAATCCATCTTTTTAAGCTTCTACAATTTGTCAAGTTAAACAGCAGCAAAATAAAATATGCAATTTCCTATAGGGAATTCGTTACTTGCAATAATTGATAATAAGCCATAGCATTGCATAAAATCAAAATATGACTAGGCATGGTTGGTGTAGAAAGCAACACTTCACCCCTTCATAGACTAGAACTAACTTGGGGTCACTCAGTGCAGTTGGTTAGCAGTGGATTCAGGAGAACAAACTCAAGGAAGTACATACGAAATTGGCTGCCACACCATGTCATGATGGCACCTAGATGGCTTTTTAAAAGGAACTAGACAAATTCATGCCGGATATGTCTTTCTACTGCCACAAGGCATGAGAATGAGTAAGAACCTTCAGGGTTGGGTGCAGCAGATTTCACAGATCCAGATACTTGGGAACATACTACGAAGGAAGCCTCTAGCAATCCTCCTCATGCTTTGTTTGTGAGCTTCCAGAGTCATCTAAATTGGTTCCAGGGCATGGATAGGGAGCCTCTGGGCTCATAATTCCCACAGGACCACAACTCAAAAAGTTACTGCAGCTTCCATCACCTGGAGTTGTGGTCGGGTGCATGGGCATAGCCAGGATTTGGGGGGGCAGGGCTTTTGTTAGGGGAGGGGCAGAACCTACGTGATTGGTCAGTTAAGTATTTCTATTGTTTTGCTTGATCTAGGGGGGCAGCTGCCCCCTGCCCCCCTTGCTATGCCCTTGGGGGGCAGGAAGGAGCTGGGAGTCCTAGCAATATCTGCATGGCTGTAGGTTCCTCATCCCTGGCCTAGTCTTGATCCAACAATATTCAAAGTGTCTTGCCTTTTGGATTGAAAACTCTCACAAAGTATTTCTCACAAACCCTTTTACTATGTTGCTATCCTAAAATAAAGGGGCGCGGGTGGCGCTGTGGGTTAAACCACAGCCTAAGACTTGCCGATCAGAAGGTCAGCGGTTCGAATCCCCGCGACGGGGTGAGCTCCCGTTCCTTGGTCCCTGCTCCTGCCAACCTAGCAGTTTGAAAGCACGTCAAAGTGCAAGTAGATAAATAGGTATCGTTCCGGCGGGAAGGTAAACGGTGTTTCTGTGCGCTGCTCTGGTTCGCCAGAAGCGGCTTAGTCATGCTAGCCACATGACCCAGAAGCTGTATGCCGGCTCCCTTGGCCAATAAAGCGAGATGAGCGCCGCAACCCCAGAGTCAGTCACGACTGGACCTACTGGTCAGGGGTCCCTTTACCTTTACCTATCCTAAAATAACAGTATTCTGAAAAGGATGAAATGCCCTTCAGAAATTCTGTCCTTGCAGAGATTGCGGTTTTCGTGGGTAAGCATTTAGTAAATTCAAATTTTCCGTGCGAAGTTTTGCTACTAGATTCAGTTCAAATCTGGCAATCTACTGTATATGCTGGGTTCCTTCCCCTAAAAAAATAAAACAAATTAATAAATATTAATAAATATTAATAAATATTTTTATTTTTTAAGAGCTGTAGGTCTGAAGTGTTTGTAGGCAACCAGACGCAAATCTCCTCTTAATCAAATTATGAGAGGGTGGGGAGAGCACTTAAAACAAAGGTGGGAACAAACCCCCACTTCATTTCAGCTTTGTTTCCCAGTGTCTTCTGCTGCGGGATCTTCTCATAGACACCGAACTTCTCGTAACGGTGACTAACTCTATGCTCCACTTAAGAGAAAGGAGGCGCTGAATCCTACCGAGTCCCCTCACATTCCTTGCATTGCTTTGCAACACATGACCACGGGCACCAGTAGGTTAAAACTGCATATTTGTCCTCTCAGCAGCTTCTGGGACTAGAACTGTAAAATCTCCCCCGAACTCGGTGGAGACGTCACCACGCCGCTCCCACGGAGCAGATGAAATTCAGACGTCACATGTGCGGAGGGAAGGAAACTGGAGCCGGGAGGGGGAGAGGAAAGCGCTCTTAAACCGACCTATAAGAGCTGCTGGAAGTTGCGATTGACACCAGAGAGACTCAATCGGGGTTAGGGTGGCCCTCGAAAATGAACTTTGGGCAACTCCGCTGAACCAATAAGGTCAATCGGGAGGCAGGGCCGCTTTGTCCCCCACCCCCCACCCCTTTCGGTGTGTGCGAAGATTAGGTTGCGATCTGGCAGGGGGAGCTGCCTTATTCTCTTGGCTCTTGCTGCAAGTGGAGCTGCGCCTTCAGCAGCAGCAGCAGGGAGCTGTCGAGCCCAGCAGCCCCGACGAGGCGAAGCAGCACCGAAGGACCCCCGGCAGCCTCTCGCAGGAATGGATCATTATGACTCTCAGCAAACCAACGACTACATGCAGCCCGAGGACGACTGGGACAGGGATCTACTTTTGGATCCGGCTTGGGAAAAGCAACAGAGGAAGGTAAACCTGGATCTCGCCTCCCTCCGGCGGTGGGCGGTGGGGAGGGGAGCAGAAGCCCCATCAGTCTAGATGAGACCGAGGAGGAGGAATCTGGGAGCGTGGAGGGAGCGTATGGGATCGGCATCCCGTGGGGCGCCGCCGAGGAGATTCGTGGGCGCCGCCAACCCGCACATGCTGCTGTGCAGCCGCGGTTTCCATTTGCGCCCTGATTTTTGCCCACGCTGTGTAGATCCGGAGCAGCGGCTGAGCCCAGGTTACCAGGCGCTTCTGCTGCGCCCGTCTCCTGCGCCTCCGCCGCCCTCTCCTCGGGAACCTCGTGGAATAATTTCAGCGCCGTTCCATTCCTCTCCGTCTTCTAGTGTCAGGGCGGGCGGCGGGGATGGCGGTGGGCGCAACGCTCAGCCCAGTGCGGCTAAGGATTTGTCTCCAAGGGAGATCTTCCCTCCCGCACGCACGCTCGCTCGCATCCTCCTCCGCCGTCCCCACCGTCGCCAATCTGACACGGAAATAATGTATTGTGTGGACGGTGGCGTCTCGCTCACAGGGCGCATTAATTGGAGAGGGCTGATAATAACCAAGAACTCGCTTTAAAACACACGCGCAGTAGGGCAGGGGTTAAAGTTGTTCCATAGGCTTGGCTAGGGATCTATTTCTTTCGGAATAGACCAGCTTTGCCAGATCATGCTTTGTCCGTATGTAGCCTTTTTTTTTCTAAAATAAAAAGCTTTTTTATTTAAAAAAAACCACACCGTCAGAGGCAAGCATGAGGTTGCTAGCGAAAGGCAGCGGAGGTGACGTGCAGAAGGGGGAGGTGGGTCGGGGCGAGGGGGAGACGCTGCTGAAATAAGGCGGTCGGGCGCGGAAAGTGTGGCGGAAGGTAAAGGGACGGAGCCGTTTGCGTTGCTCAATGCCTCGGCGCCGAAGTTGCCTGCCTTCCTCCACCTCCTCCTCCTCCTCCTCCAGCAACAGATGTTTTCCTCGCCTGCGGGCGGGAGACTGGCTGGCTCGGCTGGCCTCTCCGGCGTTTCGCAACGCCACCTTCCCGGAGGGGCTCTTCGAGCAGGGAAGTAAGTGGCTGGGCAGTTTGCTGCGCGCCTTGTTGCTGCCGCCGCCTTGCTAGGTGGAAGCAGGGCTCCCTCTCCTTCGCCCCGAGGGGAGGGCGGCGCGTAGGTAGCGCGTGTTCCCTGCCACACGGTGTCATTATGAACGGCAACACTTCCTCTCCCGAAGCAGTTACCCGCCAAGGAAAGTTGCTTTTAAGGAGGGGTCCCCCCCCCCGCTTCCAGCCGCCAGAAATCTAAAGGTGGCTTTGGGAAGGTCGAGCAACCCGGGGAGAAATCCAGATCTCTTTGGCCAGCGGCCTCGTGCCGGCGGCCTGCAAATTCTTTCTTGTAGGGCGAGAATCCGGAGCGGGGAAGTGGGGGTCCAGGTGATCTTAAGTGGGGTTGGGTTGATTGGTGTTCGTGAACCGCCTGCGCGCAGAGCCACGCTCTCCCTCGCTCTCTGCCCTTCGCTAGCGGGATGGTGGCTCACTTCAAGTTTTGAATGGTGCGGTTTAGGGCTGGGCTTGTGCAAAACTCATGTCCAAAAATGGTAACATTCATCCCATTTTTAAATTTAGGGAGGCGGGGGAGGGAGGTTAGGAGGCGTTCTAGCTTCTTCATTCTCTCTCTCTGCCGCCCCCCCCCCATAACCAAAGGCATCCTGTATTAGCTCACTCTGGAATCCTAAGCCCTTAAACATTTCCCTTTAGTCATTTGTCAGACGGCAAAGCCCGATGAAGAGGAGGGGAAGCATTTGGCAAAGTTGCCTCCTAGCTATGTGACACACAGAAGAGGTCAGCAGAGGGAATGGCTTCTGCATGTCTGGCTGGAGCTTTGTATGTATTTTGCCACATTAAAAGGACTTTGATGGAAGTCTGGTGGGTAAAAGAAGCATATTTTTAAAAACAGCAACAAGTGACTCCCCTTCCAAGGAACTCTGAATAAAGGTGGGAAGGTATCAGTCCGAGGGATTGACTAATTGGAGAATACCCTGTTGTCGTTCCCCTTGCCTAGTTTATGAAAAGATGTATAGATACTTTAAGATGATGTGCCTTCAATGGAGGCTAAGTTAATTAAAGAACTCCCGTCAGCGATATGGCTTGACAAGGCTTCGTAGAGAAAATAAAGGCAAGAGAAACAAACCCGGAAAACAAGGGTGCTCATTGAAGAATGGGGTGCAGGCCGGATGACCTTGGCATGACAACAAAAGGGAGAGGAATGGTAATTTAATTCTCAGTCCATGCGATGGGAATGTTAAATCACTGGCCCATGGGATGCAGCAGAAGTTGCTACTGAGAGATTTAAATTACCACAGAAGAGTTATGGGCAGATGATTCTTCAGTCTCACCCCCTTTTTTTCTTAGAACAACATGACGTTTTGATTAGTAAACTTCTTGTAGCAAAGGGAGAAATTCTGTATATAGTAGAACAAAGGGATTTGTCCCTCGTTTCTCATAGACAAATTATTTTATCTCTCTTTTTTGCAGTTAATGTCTACATGCCAAGCAGAATTTACATGAAATCAGCATATAAAGACAGTAAACATTTTTTTAAAATTCTTCATAAAAATCAAGTATCGTTAAAGCTCATAATTTCAAGACAAAATATCAAATACTGTTGAAACTGGGTAGAAGAGAAATTTCTAGTGTATGCATCTTTACATTACAACTGGAAGAACTTTAAAAGGCTTCATAGTATTAGTAGTTAATTCTAAAGTGCTGGGGGGCACTTTAGGACCCTGTTCTGCGCCCCTGTTATTCTAACCTTTTAACCATGGGGAAAATCCAAGCAGAGCTGAATCTGTCACTCTTAATGAGGAGACTGGCTCACCTGTGGCTCCTCAGATATTGTTGGGACTCCCTCTCACCAGTCCCAGCTGGTATGTCCTGTGGCTAAGTATGGTGGGAGTTTTAGTCCAGAAATATAGTCCCTAAGGCATAGTGAGCTCAAGCTTTGTAGGACTCCAGTCCTAAAGGCACTTGTTAGGGAATTAAGTTGAACTCTGGGACTTACTTTTGAACAGAAATGCATAGGATCACACTGTTTGGTTTTATAGTTTAAAAACCAGCAGCACCGTGAACTTTGTCAAGGAGCCAACTGGCAACTAATGCAACTTACGCAATCTTGCAGATGAATGGGTCATGTGGGCATTTCTTGTAGGCCATCCCCTGATTTGGGGATGCAAGGAGTATGTCTGACAAATTAGTCCTTATTTTAAATGAACCTAAACTTCAATTATTTTGTATTCCAAATATTTTCCAGTTACTCTGGAAAACTAACGTTAGGAAGTTCTTACATCCCTTCTTTGCACTAGCTAGATGACCCTCGTGGGTCCCTTCCAACTCTACAAATCTGTGAGTCTGTGAACATTCAGGGTGTGTAACAACATTTCCTTATAGTATCCCTATAAGTCACTCTTCCCTTGTATAGGAGCTATCTAATGAATCTGCAGGTAAGCTGGGATTTGGCTCAAAGTCTCATTATGAATGCTGTCCTATGGACCAAAGCAGCACTTGGAGTAGCAGATCTGCAACACCACTTGGCATTTCTCTGTAAACTAAGCATGAGGAACCTTCTGCCCTCCATATTGCTGAATTCTGACACCCATCAGCTCCAGCCAGAATCGCTAATGGTGGTGGATGATGGGAGTTGTAGTCCAACAGCATATGGAGGGCTGCAGGGTAGCCACATGTTTCTCAAACTGCAGGGCATAAGAAACTGGAGGGGATAGGAATAATTCTGCATGTGCTCTTGGGAACGACAGACGATGAGCAGTGGGGGAAGAATAGCATCAGCAAGCTGGAGAAGTTGGAAAGGAGGAGTATGGGGAATTACTGATTTAGGGAGGGACCCAAGGGTGATATATTAGTGGTTGGTGTGATTTCATAAAGTTTGAAAAGCAAAAGAAATGTGCTTGGAGTTTGGCTGTGCTGTGGCTTGCAGTCTGGTACTTTCATGTAGGAAGTGTGACAAAGCAAGTATGTTTCTCATAGGCTAGAAAGTGTGGCTTCTGGTACGGGGGCTGGCCTCATAACCACAGGGAGAAAAATGGGCTAAAGTCACCAGTGCCTGTGACAGCACATCTGTTTTCACACCAAAACTTCCATGTAGATTGGACCCTGAATTTTAATGTGCCTCCCCTTGGTGGTATTTCAGCAAGTGCATGAGATTTTCTCACCTTCCATTGAGTCTCTGGTGTCTACGGATATATACAGAGAGAAGCTGCCTGAGCATTTAAATCAATAGATAAATAAATAAGCCTTGACCCAGACAGAGGGGAATTGTGAACAGGATTAATATCTGGTGTGTAGGAAGGACCATAGCTCAGTGCTTTGCTTGCAGAAGATCCTGGGTTCAATTTGGGGCACCTCCAGGTAGGGTTAACCTTTCTGAAACCTTGCCAGTTAGTGTAGAGACTACGGAAATAGATGTGCTGTTCTGTTAGTCTGTTCAGTATTAGGCAGTTTCCTATGTTTTGCCTTCTCTCAAAAGCCAGCCTTGGGAATTCACCAACCTGAAAAGGACTGTGCAGATCTTCTGCTCAGGTGTGGTGTTGGCATAAGTGTGTGTGTCTTGCAGGCAGGTTTTCTATTTAAAACTTTTAAAAATCTCATCATAGCATCAATCATTTAAAAGAAAGAGGTTAGGTTATGTTCTTGAATCTACAAATCACTTCCCACAACAAGTCCCAATGCAATTTCCAAGAATAAAATATGACAATAAAAATTCATAAACATATTCAAAATATGATAAACATACGTCTACATTAAATACATTTCCATATAGGCTTTGCACTTTCCACATGAGGTTTGAATTACAGGATTAGTGTGCTTTTTTTCTTTTAATACAATTTTTTTGGGAAGTTTCTGTTGAATTGCTTGAATAGAACTTCCAACCTTGACCTTTCATTCCCCAGTAAAAATAACTTTCTATAGTAGCCCTGGCACAGCTTTTATA